AACACTTCCATATGTCGACCTCACAGGTGGCCTCTATAGCGCCCGAGTCTTTCATGTGTTACGGGCCACTCGTTTATGACGGATACGGCTGTTGTTATAATCCATCCAAAAATCAAATTATTTTTGCCATCTCTTCGTTTACTAAAAATAATGGAAATACAAATGCTTTGAATTATAAAAAAGAATTAACCGATTGTTTGAAATTTATGCAACAAATTGCAAATCAATCAAAACTATAAGTTTTAATTAAATATATATTTATCAATAATAGCTAACGGAATGCTTATTTTTCTCAATAGAAATTCTGTATAATTCTGTTATAATTTACAATAAAATAGTTTTATTAAAATATAACAATGTACTTTTAATGTTATTTCAATTATAAAAGTCTATTAGTAATATTCTTATTGCGATACTAATCGTTGAATATTATAAATAATATATACTTTTGATTTAATCAAATATATCATAAGTTTAATTAAATTATTATGAAAAAAGTAAAAAATAAACTTTTTAAAAAAATAGAAAATTGTATTATTTATACAAAATTACAATTATAATTGACGACTTTATGAAAATTAAACAATAATTGCATTAATAATCCCAAAATAACTCATTACAACTATAATAAACTAAAGATTAGTAATAAGTAAATGAATTGAAAGGTTAAATCATGTTTAATAAATGAGAAACACTTTAGTGTTTGCTCATTACAACTTTTCACACACTTAACTCACACTTAACTCACTGCGATAATAACTTGCCAACTAACACTCCCGGTAACCCAAACACACGTCACAAACCACACAAAACGACACTTTACGTTAGTTTGCGTAATCCATAGGAAAGTGTGCTTTCAATCAAATAGTGTGACATTTGTTTGGTTTTTGTCTGTTTTGTGGTCACCGCGAGTCCACTCGAGTCCGTCACCACTGATGGCATTGAATCCCAATTACGAACAAATCGGCAAAACGTTTGTCCAGCAGTACTATCAGCTGATGGACGACTCGACACAGCGACCAAATGTGGCCAATTTCTACACTGTATGACATCCCTCTCTCCCGACCCCTCTCTCCTCGATATCACTACTAATGTCCACACTTTGTCTTTAGGAGCAAAAGTCTTTGATGTCTTTCGAAGGCCAGCAAATGATGGGCAGAACGAAGATCATGGAGAAGATCCAGAGCCTGACGTTCCAGAAGATCCAACACATCATAACGGCTATCGACGCTCAGCCGACCTTCGATGGCGGCGTTTTGGTGGCCGTCTTGGGTCAGCTCAAGACGGACGACGACCCGCCGCACACTTTCAATCAGGTGTTTATCTTAAAGCCGGCAAACGATAGCTTTTATGTGGAACACGACTGCTTCAGACTAGCTCTTCATGTCTAACCACAACATTAACTCAATTCAAGAAATGCATTCAAATTAGTCTCAATTCAAACGCCGGACTTTACTATTGATATATCAATTCAAACTTCTTCTTCTTTGTCATCAAATAATTTCCAAATATTTTTAATTCAAGTGTTTTTAGTCTTCGATTAAAAGACATAATTAATTAAAAAACGAAATCATTTTAATTAATGGCTCGAAAATTAAATACAACTTTTTGTTAACTTTTAATAATAATCAATAAAAAATCAAAGACATGTCAAACATGTCTTCACTCGACATCGCATTGTCTTCACTTCTTTTGTTTCTTCTTCTCCGCCTCCTCTTCCTTCTCCTTCTCTATAATCGTCACGTATTTGTCGATCTCTTCGGCCGACAGTAACGCCATTTTGGATCCCTTTTCCATTTTAGCGACTTCGAGGTTCTTTCCCTGAACCACTTCCAGCAGCGCCTTAATCGCCAACTTAATGGTCGCCTCTTTTGATTCGGCGATTTCTGTCGAGTAATTCTTCTCCAAGAACTCCCTCACAGTCTTAGCGCTCCTTCCGGTGGCGTTGGCTTTCCATTCGTGGTAAACACCTGTCAGACAATCATTATATATATATTGTCAACGAAAGCATTCATTTATATACCCGAGGGATCCGTTTGGAAGAGTCTAGGCGTCATGTCTTCGTCAAAGCCGGCAATGAGTGCTGATATACCGAAAGGTCGTCTGCCGTTGGATTGGGTGTACTTCTGCTTCAATTGGGCGATGAATCGTGTGATGTACTCAAGAGTGACCGGATCTTCGACCGTCAGCTTATGGCTCTGACACTCGACCCGAGCCCTATCGATGAGTATACGGGCGTCGGCTGTCAGTCCTGTCAAACACCAAACCATCAGTTAATCATTCACTACAAGACATGACATACCGGCGAAAGCCATCACCACGTGATCGTCCAGAAGACATATCTTGCGGACAGTCCTCTCTTCTTGCAGTTTTGCCACCGATTTCTTCTCGACCGCCAAAACCACGATATCTTTGCCGCGAACGCCGACCTATGAGTCAACACATCCATCAGACAATGGATTCAATGAATGCAAACAATGGTATACAGCAGTGGATCCCTTCTTGACGGCCTCCTGAGCGTACTCTACTTGGAAGAGGTGTCCATCGGGTGAGAAGACAGTGATGGCCCGATCATAACGTCCAGACATTGTATGCAATTAGTGATCAATTGAGTGACAAATGAAAAATAAAGTCAAAATGTTATCAATTGAATGAGTAATCAGTTTTGTATAATGTTTTCAATGCTTTCTCACTCAATGTTGTGTCCAACAGATGCCACTCAACCACTTTAATTTAAAGTTTGCTTGGTAATTTAAAATTCAGTGATTTAAAGCCAAGTTGGAGTGCTATTTATTGATTGAGGTGTGAATGTATTGTATTGTTTGCATTACAAGAATTATTATTCACAATAATATTCTGTATTAAATAACATGTATTGAAATGTTGTATCAAAAGTGAAATCTTGGCATAAATTCAATATTACGTAAACTTAAAAACAAATTTAAAAGTTATGTTGTTTTCAATGTTAAAGTGTTGTCTGTTTTGAACATTGGATTCAATGTTGAATTGAGCGCTCATTTCAATGCTATCACTGTTTTTGTTGTGAAAAAGTTTCACTATTTCTATGAAACACATGATAACCGATAATGTCTTCAGATTACAAGCTATTGCGCGAAGACTTCATCCGCGGTCACAACGGATCCACTGCCTCGGAAGTGGTGGCCATCACTTGTGTGAACCAATTGGCAAATCTACTGCTCATCGCTGTCTTATCTCTATTCCCGGTCTTAACTGAACCCAAGTTTGTGACACTTTTTTGTTGATATTATCACTAATTCAATTGATCCGTTATATTAGTCACCTATGGATCCGCTATTCAATCGAATTCTTCATTATAATGACTCCTTTCATCACTTGTATCACCATTTTATCCGATTATATATTCTTCGTGTATTTGGCAATCATTTCGCTGACAGTCATCGCAATTGTGTTGTGTTTTATGCGAAGACAAACCAAACAAATAGTTGTGAAAGACTTACTTGAATTGTGTCCAAACTATGAGCAAAGACTGCCATTTCTAACCAATCTCTTCTCAACACTTATGCAATGCGTTTGTATAGCCATTCTTGCGGTCGACTTCCGTGTCTTCAGCCGACGTTTCGCCAAAACAGAGATCTATGGCTTCAGTCTCATGGATGTCGGCGTCGGCTCTTTCATCGCTATTAACGGCGGCTTTTCTCCCGAATCCCGATTAGGAAGTGATTCGCGAAATAAACGAATGTTTCTCTTTAAGAAGACTGTCTTCTCAACGGTTCCACTCATTGTATTGGGTTTTCAACGACTTATTGCTGTTAAGAGTCTTGAATATCACGAACACGTGACTGAATATGGAGTTCACTGGAACTTCTTCTTCACTCTCGGTCTCTCTAAAGTGATTATAATTACTACAAATCATTTGATTTGCATTTTAATCTTTCTATTCTTCTCAACAGCTTTTTTCCACTGCTTTTTGCTGTTTATTCACAAACAAAATTAATTTAGGTTTTTGTGGTGTAGTTTTGATAATCTTATATCAGATTTGTCTCAATTGTGGTTTAAGTGAATTCATACAAAACGACAACAGAAATGGTTTGTTTGCCGCAAATAAAGAGGGAATCCTTTCGCTGTTTGGATACATATCATTGTATTTGATTTTTGTGGAAATCGGAAAATACATCGTAAACCTCAAGTATTTTGATTTTACAATTTGCTCTTCAAATATCATTTTAAAGCTTTTAATTGATTTTTAAAAATAGATTTCAAATTAAACTGTGGCTGAAGTTATCGATTCAGTTGTTTATATTGTCGTTTACATTCATTTTGTTGACTGATATGAGTGACACATATATTGAAAGCACTTCGCGACGAGAAATGAACCTCTCATTTGTCTTTTGGATGGTTTCATTGAACTCCTTATTTATTGGTATGGAGTTTGCTATACATTCATTTTGTTGACTGATATGAGTGACACATATATTGAAAGCACTTCGCGACGAGAAATGAACCTCTCATTTGTCTTTTGGATGGTTTCATTGAACTCCTTATTTATTGGTATGGAGTTTGCTATTCAAACACTTGTCCATTGTTTGCAACACTTGAATGTCTTGGGTTCGGGTGATACACATCGAAGTATTATATTCTCGGCCATAGGTTACAGCGGAATGTTATTATTCTTGGTCTCCAACCTATTGACGGGTTTAATCAACTTTACAATCAATACGATCTCTGTTTCCAATTCAATAGCATTTGCTATTATAGTCATCTATAGTCTAATACTGTCTATTATTTCTGTGATTTTATTTCATTATAAAATTCAGATCAAAATTCCAGTCAAACAAAAGTCAGATTAATTTTTTAATGATTTTATTATAAACTATAATTCCTTAATTTTTGTAGTCAAGACAATCACATAAAATAGTGATTTTTAAACATTTGAAAACATTAAAATTATTATAACATTTCAAAAACATTTACAATTGTATTAAAGTGTTTTTGATCATTGATCACAAATATATTAATCCTATCAGAAAATGTGATAAAACATTGATTGTGCGCAAAATTATTGTTACCATACATTTCTGTGATTTACAATATTTTTACAATTTGATTGTTAAATATTCATAAATATACTTATTATTAATAATTCATTTATCACACGATTTGTTAAATTATTATAACATTTGTTAACAACGATTAGTAATTTAATATAAAATACATTAAAAATTAAAATATTTAATAATAACTATTTGGCAATGTTTACTGTAAATCATATTTGTTTATCAAAATGCATAAAATATGGTTATCTGTTGACCAGTAGTTTATCTCCGGTTTACTGTTATATTCCAATAGTGTTGCAAATATCGTGTCCAACAGTTCTGGGACTCAATTTCTAAACACTTTCTGTTTGGTCCCTGAAATAAGTTATTTCAAACCATCACAAAATGTGTAAATTGTGATATTCTAACAAATAAGAAACCCTTATATTGCTTCACGTGTCGGTCCTGACATGAATGGCTTTCCTTTGATTGTTATAACTTTTATAACAGTATATATTATTCGGGTTAAGACACGAAAATGTTAAACAGATATTGATTGCAACGAACTATGGTTTGACCTGAAAATTGTATATACATTGGAGATAAGCTACAGATCAACGAATAATACTAATTAAGATCAATACATGGCTTCAACTGATGCATTGGAAAGACCGCAATGTATTCGTTCTGGAATTCTGCCTCAACTGATCCCATAGGAGGCGGATCTGTATATAGAGTGGTTGGCGTCGGATCAGTGGTCGGAGTGGTCTTCCAGCAGTAGACGCGAAATATAGCGATTAGAAAACCTACTAAACTTCCCGTCAGTATTAGGCTTATTATTGAGAATATAAAAATATCTGTATTTGCCCATGGTATTCCTGCAACATTCACAACACAGACAAATCATTTATTATTTATTACGTTTAGAAATACAATCAATTGGATTAGTTTAATATTTTTTCGTAAAGTAATGCTTAGAATTTATAAACAAATATATAAATATATATCTATTTATAGAAATATATTAACAATTCATACCATTAAATATGCAGAATAATAGCAGAATTAAGGCTGAGATAGCAGTTATTAACAGTAATATCAATTCTATCATTATTTTAGACATCGATTAAATTAATATCTAAAAGAAATTTCACTAAAATTATATAATTAACTAAAATTGTAATGTATTTAAGACCTAATAAATAAAAATAGTGAATAAATAGTATATATTTATATAGCATTTGTATAAAAGTATTTAGCGAAGCAAATAGAGCACTGACTCCAATGCAACTCTTTTATCCATTCATAAGCAATGCTATCATCAATGCATCCCTCAGTCCATTGTTTCCAACATTACTTTACATTATCTCCCATTCATTTAATTTATAATTTAAAATTACACTAACTTTGCATTTGTTGTATTTTTACTGCAATTAATTTGTCTACCGTTTAAACTAAATTTACAAAAGTATTGCAAAGAGATTAAAGATTCCTAACTTATTCTCTAAGAGAGACAAACTATTCATTGAAAATTTCATTTCATATAAATATTTAATAAATACTCGAATAAAAAAATCTTAAATTACTTTAATTGTTATTTTGTAAATTTGGTACAACTTTTAAATATGTGAACAAATAACTAGTGGTCATAAATGAGTGATAAGTTTGTCAATCATTTGATCACATTTTGTACCACATTATAGCAAACGTATGGCAGAAGTGGTTGAGTGGCATCTGTTGGACACAACATTGAGTGAGAAAGCATTGAAAACATTATACAAAACTGATTACTCATTCAATTGATAACATTTTGACTTTATTTTTCATTTGTCACTCAATTGATCATGCACTGACTCCAATGCAACTCTTTTATCCATTCATAAGCAATGCTATCATCAATGCATCCCTCAGTCCATTGTTTCCAACATTACTTTACATTATCTCCCATTCATTTAATTTATAATTTAAAATTATACTAACTTTGCATTTGTTGTATTTTTACTGCAATTAATTTGTCTGCCGTTTAAACTAAATTTACAAAAGTATTGAAGAGATTAAAGATTCCTAACTTATTCTCTAAGAGAGACAAACTATTTATTGAAAATTTCATTTCATATAAATATTTAATAAATACTCGAATAAAAAAATCTTAAATTACTTCAATTGTTATTTTTTAAATTTAATACAACTTTTAAATATGTGAACAAATAACTAGTGGTCATAAATGAGTGATAAGTTTGTCAATCATTTGATCACATTTTGTACCACATTATAGCAAACGTATGGCAGGAGTGGTTGAGTGGCATCTGTTGGACACAACATTGAGTGAGAAAGCATTGAAAACATTATACAAAACTGATTACTCATTCAATTGATAACATTTTGACTTTATTTTTCATTTGTCACTCAATTGATCA